TCTATCTATCTATCTATCTATCTATCTATCTATCTATCTATCTATCTATCGCTATCTATTTACTATCTCTCTCTCTCTCTATTTATCTCTCTATTATCTCTCTATCTCTCTATTTACTATCTATCTCTCTCTCTTTCTATTTATCTATTTATTTACTATCTATCTATTTATCTATTTACTATCTATCTATCTACTATCTATCTATTTATCTATCTATCTATTTACTATCTATCTATCTATCTATCTATCTATCTATCTATCTATCAATCATCTATCTATCTATTTCTATTTTTCATTTCCTTCTACTTCTAAACGTTCTTGGTTATCTCTCTCTTTCTCTCTCTCTTTCTGTGTGTATACATATATATGCTTTCTTCTCTTATCGTAGGTTTAAAGAGTATGTATTTTTCTTCAACCGGGTATTTTCCTACGTAAACCAAGTTTTTCAAATTGCAGCCATAGCTCAGTGAAATCACATCCGCTATCCTAGGCTTCTTCAGACATCAAGCCAGCATTTTGCTGCCTATTGATGCCTATTGGCAAAATGCTGGCTTGCTGTCTGAAGAAGCCTAGGATAGCGGATGTGATTTCACTGAGCTATGGCTGCAATTTGAGAAACTTGGTTTACGTAGGAAAATACCCGGTTGAAGAAAAATACATACATACATATACACATACACATACACATACACATATACATATACATATACATACACATACACCTCTCTCTCTCTCTCTCTCTCTCTCTCTCTCTCTCTCTCTCTCTCTCTCTCTCTCTCTCTGGATAGATAATGGTTAAAATGATGATACACCTCTCCCCCATATATCATATGTTTGTTTGTGTGTATCTCTTCACTGTTGATTTGGAACCTGCTTTTTGGAATGTTTGTAAAATACCACCCCCAAAAAAGATTGTTATTTTTTCATAGTTGTCTTTCTCCTATAGTTATGGTTCTTTTTACTGTTGTTTTCCATAACACACAGACACACACAGAGGGAGAGAGAGAGAGAGGGAGGCAGGGGGAAGAGGGAGAGATGCCTAGTGATTCTAGATGGCGTAAACATATTGCAAACCTCTTTGAGGACAGCAATCAGAAAGTGCTCCATAAACACAAAATGAGGTTGTTGGTTTTGTTTTGTTTTTTTGGTGTGTGGTTATTTACTAGATTTATATGCTGTCTTTCTACCCATTGGTTAAAGGTAGATAAACGGAACCCGAACGTCCTGCATCGTTTTTTCCTCTCTTCTCATTTCATAATGGAATTTTGTTCAGTTCCTTTCGCCAATTCCCCTCTTTTAATTAGCCCGCATTTCAACAAGGCAGCCTCAGCCGCCGTGCCCAATTGCAGGCGATAAAAAGTTTTTGGCTGCTCTTAGATGCCAAACGGTTTTGTTTTAACGGGTGGGCATAAATTATTCCATCCTTATCTCCCTCTCCTATTCCAGTTTAAGGGAGGCCGTGACTCTCCAGCTACTGCTGGACTCCAGGGCCCATCAGCCACCGTGAGCTCAGCCAAAGGGCACCCGAGGAGAGCAATTTCAGTCCGTTTGGATTGGACATTTGGACAGATGATGTTATGGCGGCCTGGAGTGTTGCATAGAATTGCTTCCTCCCCAGAAACTGGTTTTGTTTTAATCTAATCCAAAATCCCGTCTCTGCCCAGGAAAACAGAAGCCGGAAGAGAGCTTGGAGGGCAGTAACCATCTTTAGAAGATGGCTTGTCTTGCTAGAGTTGTGAGGTGGGAAGAGTGGCTTGGTCTGCCTGCGGGAACATCTCATCTCACTCAGCTTCTCTGCTCAGCTCCTCTATTTGGGCTTAAAGTGGTTTAAAGTGCCAGGCGAGAAAGTGGGAGGTCATGAGTTCAAGTCCCACCGTAGCTATGAAACCAGCTGGAGACAGGATAGCAGTCTTCCAATATCTCAGGGGCTGCCCCAAAGAAGAGGGAGTCAAGCTATTCTCCAAAGCACCTGAGGGCAGGACAAGAAGCAATGGGTGGAAACTAATCAAGGAGAGAAGCAATTTAGAACTAAGGAGAAATTTCCTGACAGTGAGAACAATTAACCAGTGGAACAACTTGCCTCCAGAAGTTGTGAATGCTCCAACACTGGAAGCTTTTAAAAAAGAGCAATTTGTCTGAAGTGGTGTAGGGTTTCCTGCCTAGGCAGGGGGTTGGACTAGATAACCTTTAATGGTCCCTTCCAACTCTTGTTATTCTATTTTATTCTATTTTATGATTTATTTGTTGATTTATTTATATAGATCAACTTATATAGATAAAAGATCTATATAGATATATTTATATTGATTTTATCTATTATTTGTTGATCTATTTATATAGCTGCCAACAAGTGACTCGGGCAGCTTGCAAGATCCAAAGACAAACACCCACCACATCAGAGGCAAAGAACTTGTGTGAATATCCTTTTGCTTGTCTATCGCTTGGTAGATTTATTTATTTATTTATTGGTTCGATTTATATGCCGCCCCTCTCCGGAGACTCAGGGCGGTTTACAATGCGTTAAGCAGTAGCCTTCATTCTTTTTGTATATACCTGCTTAGTAGGGCTTCCCCCCCCTCCAAGCAGTGTTCTTTTTTATACAAAGTCAGCTTATTGCCCCCACAAAGTGGGTCCTCATTTTACCTACCTTAGAAAGGATGGAAGGCTGAGTCAACCTTGAGCCTGGTGAGATTCGAACTTGCAATAATTGCAGGCAGCTGGTGCTATTTAACAGCACTGTAGTCTGCTGCGCCACCAAGGCAAGATTCCCCGACTTTCAATGTTACTTAATTCCCAAAGAAAACTTTTCCCGGGTTTTTTTTTAACAGCTTGGATAAACTGTTGGACAGCCAGGCTGTCCGATGAACCAAAGAGATGGCTTAAAAAACAAACAACTTTAGCAAAAAAAAAAACCCTCAGCCTGCCTTGACTGCTTCCTGGGATAATAAACCTGCTCCAAAAATTCTCCCAAAATAAAAAGCCAGAAAGGTTTCAAAAGCGCTTTGAGACTAAGAGCCAACTCTGGAGAAACTTCACTCGTTCTTTTTTTTTAGCCTTGTTTGGGTGTGTGTGTGTGTGTGCTTGATTGTGAGAGGAGCGGCTACATAAATCTGACAAACAAATAAATAAATAAAAATAAAAATGCAGAAACTAAAGCATCCCGCTTGCCAGTTTAATCTAGGGTACAGCCGCTGCCATTTCATTAACCTATCAGCCACTTAAAAGTGGAAAATTTAATAAGAAACGAGAGCTGCTTTTTAAAAGAAAAAAAGCATTCGATCCATTAGAATGGACATCAATTTTTTTTCCCTTTTTGGCGAGTCTATCTGCCAGACGATGCTGCCCAATTTTACTGGTGAAAGAGGCAGCCAAATTAAATACATTTCTGACCCCTTTTCAACCTGGGCTGTTGAGAATCTAGGTGCCTCTTCCAACGCAACTGCTCCTTCTCTTCAGCTTCTTATATTTTAAATCCAGGAGGGCAGGACAGACTTAATCTCCCTGGCTTGTTGTTTCCATTCCGTAAAACGATTTGAGTGCTTGCTGCAAAAATGGTGCAAGGTAGACTATTCCTATGCATGGTGCCAGCCAGCCAACCCCTTTGTACCCTCCTCCCTAAAGTTTTCCAGTCTCCCTGGCTCTCCCATGCCAGTCCCTGAGTTTACGGGCTGGCTGCTGTGCCGTTTTAATATTTCCCTTCCTTCTTGATTTGTCATCTCTTTCCCAAGGACTTTTATTTTTATTCTGGCTGTATATGGCCTTCTGCAAACTCCAGGGTTTCCCCGAAAACCAACCAACCAACCAACCAACCTACCTACCTACCTACCTACCTTCCTTCCTTTTCTTTCTTTCTCTTTTTCTTTCTTTCTTTCTCTTTCTTTGTTTCTTTTCTCTCTTTTTTCTCTCTTTCTCTTTCTTTTCTCTCTCTCTCTTTCTTTGTCTCTATTTTTCTTTCTCTTTCTTTTCTTTCTTTTTCCTTCTTTCTCTTTCTTTTTCTCTCTCTTTCTTTCTTTCTCTTTTCTCTCTCTTTTTCTTTCTCTTTCTCTTTTTTCTCTTTTTCTTTCTTTCTCTTTTCTTTCTTTTTTCTCTCTTTCTTTCCTCTCTCTCTTTCTTCTCTCTTTTTCTTTGTCTTTCTTTCTTTTCGCTCTTTCTTTCTTTCTCTCTATTTTTCTTTCTTTCCCTTTCTTTCCTTTTCTCTCTCTTTTCTTTCTTTCTTTCTCTTTCTTTTTTCTCTCTTTCTTTCCTCTCTCTCTTTTTCTTCTCTCTCTTTTTCTTTGTCTTTCTTTCTTTTCGCTCTCTTTCTTTCTTTCTATTTTTCTTTCTTTCTTCTTTCCCTTTCTTTCCTTTTCTCTCTCTTTTCTTTCTTTCTTTCTTTCTTTCTTTCTCTTTTTCTTTCTTTCTCTTTTTCTCTCTCTCTTCTTTCTTTCTTTCCTCTCTCTCTCTTTCGTTCTCTCTCTCTTTCTCTCTCTCGCCCGGGCCATGCTTCTCCAGGACTCTCTAGCATCCTCCTCTCCCCCTCTAAAGAGTGAGTTTGCAAAGTGCCCCCCCCCCCCCCCCCCCCCCGCCAAGCAGCAGGATAGAAAGGCCGCGACTCCAAGGCTCGTGGGCAGGGAATTGCTTAATAGCACGAAGGTTTCCCCCCCCACGTAACAAACTTCCCCAAACAGACAGAACGTGGTCGGAAGCCTTGCGCGGTTGCGAGAAAGCGAGCGCAAAGTTGCTCAAGACGCCTGGCCCGTTCCGCGACCACCCCCCACCCAACCCCACCCAACCCAACCCAACTCAACTCAACTCAACCCCGTCCTGGGTGCCCTTGAGGATGCTTGAGCTGTGCCAGCCCACCAAGGGGTGGGTGGGTGAGTGGGCACAAAAAGGCATCAGCCTCGCCCTCCTCCTCCTCTTCCTCCTCCTGGGGAGGGGGCTAGAGATGCCACCCCTGAGGACGCGAAAAGTCCCAAAAAACAACAACCCACGAAGGGGAGACCCCTCCTTCTACTCACAGCCGGTCTTGTGGGCGAGTTGCCGGGTCTCCTCGGAGATCGAGTGGGAAGAGCCCATGGCTGGGCTAGGGCTGGGGAGGGGGTGGCAGCAGCAGCCGTCTGACTCTGGGGTCCCGGCTGGATCAGGGCAGGGCAGGGCAGAGGCGGCAGGGCGAGCGAGGGAGCTGGGGCAGGGGCGCATGGACCCCGGAGTGCTGGAGCGCAGCGCCCACTTGGCTGCGGAGTTTGGAGTCCGGAGGCAGCATGAAGGCGAAGGGGAATATCCAGAAAGAGAAGAGGAGGAGGAGGAGGAAGAGGAGGAAGGAAAGAAGGAGGCTCCCCCAGGGTCCCAACGCCTGCCTGCCTGTGCCTGAGACACATCACATCACAATCTAATTAAAAGTCTAAAACTCTTAAGCAGCCTTCCTATCCTGGGGGAATCTCCTTTTTTTTTTTTTTTCCACTGGTCCCAGTTCTCCCTGGAGGGGGGAGAGAGGCAGCGTAGCAACCAGAAAACATTTTGCATCTCTTGCAAATCTGATAAGAGGAACTAACAGGTGCATTTAATTATTTTTGGGGGGGTGAAAGAGATTTTAAAGTCAGCAGTGAAGGGAGAGGAAAGGTCTGGCTGCAAGCCTCGAACCCCCTTTCCAGAAGGGGGAAGCTCTGATCCATTAGCTCACCGAGGACTGGATGTTCTTCTCCAACCTCTCTTGCTGATGAACAAATCATGATTAATTCATACATGGGAGTTCGAGGCTGCCCAGGGTTGGCTCAGCCACCCAGGGAGAAGAAATCTCTTGGGTCGTCCATTGGAGCATGGAAAGGAGAATCTGAATGCGAACAAGGACTTGGGCCTTTTTGTGGTGTCAAAATGTGTTGTGTGATCTCGGGGCGAGATCGACAAATTGGACAGGTTAGGAGTTGTTTGGAGGACTTCCCTGTATGGGCAGGAGTGTCCAACTTTGGCAACTTTTTTTGTTTTAATTTCTTTTTTAAATTTTGATTTATATACCGCCCTTCTCCGGAGACTCAGGGCGGCTTACAATGTGCTAAGCAATAGCCTTCATCCTTTTTGTATATATTTATACAAAGTCAGCTTATTGCCCCCACAAACTGGATCCTCAATTTACCTCCCTTAGAAAGGATGGAAGGCTGAGTCAACCTTGAGCCTTGGAGAGATTCGAACCTGCAGTAATTGCAGGCAGCTGGTCTTAATAACCAGCTTAATAACAGGGTGCCTTAGGCCACTGTACTACCAAGGCTCTTTTAAGAGTTTGTGGACGTCAAGTCCCAGAATTCCTCAGGCAGCCATGGGGAATTCTGGGAGTTGAAGTCCACGGGTCTTAAATTGGCCAAGGTTGGAGACTCCTGCTCTAATATAGCGTTTCTCAACCTTTGAGGTAGGTGGACTTCAACTTCCAGAATTCCCCAGCCAACCGTTACAAAAACACTACTCCTGAGAAAACTGCAAGCCCATGGAACCTCACTCCACAAGATTTCAGTGGGGGCCATCCCCAGTTTGCAAAAAGGAGATAAGCTACAATTGTGACAAATTGTGGGCATCGCTGGCAACTCATCATCTTGGCGACGTAAGTGTCTCTCAAGAGCAGAGGTTACTTTGATGACACTTTGGCAGGGATCTCCTCCTTGCCAACTGCCCAAAAGCCGGATTGGCCATAATGTCAGAAGGAAGCCATGGATGGATGGTTTGGGTGGGTCAAGGAGCACATCTTTTCCATGGGATAACATCAGGAGAACATTGGGATGTGGTCTCCTGGTAAGAGCCAGGAGAACACAACTCCAGACCAGGGTTTCACAAATAGGATGGAGTATACCCAGTGGTGAAATTCAATTTTTTTTTTTTACTACCGGTTCTGTGGGCGTGGCTTGGTGGGTGTGGTGTGGCTTGGTGGGCGTGGCAGGGGAAGGATTCTGCAAAATCCCCATTCCCTCCCCATTCCTGGGGGAAGGATATTGCAAAATCTCCATTCCCACCCCACTCTGGGGCCAGCCAGAGGTGGCATTTGCCGGTTCTCTGAACTACTCAAAATTTCCGCTGCCGGTTCTCCAGAACCTGTCAGAACCTGCTGGATTTCACCCCTGAGTATACCGATGTTAACCTAGTTGGGCAATGAAACATCTGTAAGAAAACAACCAAGCTCAGAGAGAACCAAGGACCTTACAGGACAGAGCATATTACAACTTGGGTAACCCAAGGAAGCCAACCGTCAATAGACTGAACTCCAAAAAGGAAAAACTCTTGGCACAAACTGGATTTAAAGAGGAGTTAGAGTAAGGACAGTAGAAGCATTTAATCCGGGAGTTGTAAGTCATCATAGCAGCTTGGAGCTTCCATAAGGTAGGGTAGTCTGGTGCTGAAAACTGATTCCTGGGAAGCAACAGCTAGTTGTTACAGATTACAGATTGACAGCATTGGGAGGGACCTTGGAGGTCATCTAGTCCACCCCCACCCCTGGCCAAGCAGGAGACCCTACACCATTTCTGACGGATGGCAGTCCAGTCTCTTCTTGAAACGCTGTTCCCTTCCCACCAAAGGGGGTCCCTATTTTTCTTACTTGCATTTTTTACGTGCTTTCGAACTGCTAGGTTGGCAGAAGCTGGGACCAAGTCACGGGAGCTCCCCCCGTTACGCGGCACTAGGGATTCAAACCGCTGAACTGCCGACCTTCCGATCGACAAGCTCAGCATTTTAGCCACTGAGCCACCGCGTCCCTTAGACGGCAAACAATATTGAGGCTTTATAGACAAATAGGCAGTTGTGGCCAAGGGAAAAAAAATGGAAAACACTTCATTTTTTATTTTATTTTACTTGCAGAGATAAGCAATTGTGTTGCCCAAGAATGGCTTTTTTAATTCAATTTCGTAAATGGCCTTGCCACGGGGTGCCATTACGGAGAGAGACAAAAGGCGGAATGTTTGGAGAAAATGGCATTTGTTTGGCACGAGGTTTAAGCCAGCCGGTGCGGTGAACCTCGTCCCAGGTCTTAATGTGCTCTCCAAAGCGATGAGACAGACAGAGGGAAGGGAAAAGATTTTGTTGAAGAAAACCATAGGATGACTCCAGTTTCTTCAAAGATGGATGAAAGCCCTTCCTGAGGAAGTGAGACCTAGTTTTCATGCCTTTCAGTTAAGGAGGCCAACCGTTATGAAACAAAGGTCAACAACAAAGGATGTTTGATGGTGTTGCCAAGGCCCCAACTGGGGATCTCCAAGATGTTTTGGAAAGTCCAAAAGAGAAAAACAGGCTCATGGATTCAGATGCTTCCACCCGCTGGGCAAGAGGGCAATCCAATAAAGAGAGGATCGGAAGCCCATGGCCACTAACCTCTCCATTTGTGGTCCGAGATCATTAAAGAGAGATCCAATCTAGAAGTAAGGAGAAATTTTTCTGACAGCGAGAACAAATAATGAAATTGCTGGCCTCCAAAAATTATAGGTGCTTCATCACTAGAGACTTTTAAGATTCTTCTCGTCCTTCCTATTACCTATCTATCTCCTTGTTGTTGTTGTTGTAAATTGCAAAGTCGTGTCCGACCCATCGCGATGCCATGGACAACGTTCCTCCAGGCCTTCCTGTCCTCTACCATCCTCTGGAGTCCATTTAATCTCACGCCGACTGCTTCAGGGACTCCATCCAGCCACCTCGTTCTCTGCCGTCCCCTTCTTCTTTTGCCCTCCATCGTTCCCAGCATTAGGCTCTTCTCCAGGGAGTCCTTCCTTCTCATTAGGCGGCCAAAGGATTTGAGTTTCCTCTTCAGGATCTGGCCTTCTCAAGAGCAGTCAGGGTTGATCTCCTCTAGGACTGACCGGTTGGATCGCCTTGCAGTCCAATGGACTCGCAGGAATCTTCTCCAGCACCAGAGTTCAAAGGCCTCCATTCTTTGGCGCTCAGCCTTCCTTGTGGTCCAACTTTCCCAGCCATCCATTGCAACTGGGAAAACCATCGCCTTGACTATACGCACTTTTGTTGGCAGAGTGATGTCTCTTATGTCCTTCTACTTATGACCTTGTTGCTTGCATCTTTACTATTTATATTGTTTTATTTAATTTCCCAGTATGATTTTGATTGCTTATTTAGTATCCTATGACTATCACTAAGTGCTGTATCTTATGATTCTTGATGAATGTATGTTTTTTATGTACACTGAGAGTTTATGCACCAAATATACATTCCTTGTGTGTCCAATCATACTTGGCCATCAAAGAATTCTATACTGGACAGCCATTTGTCTGTAATGGTATAGGGCAGTGATGGCTAACCTTTTTGCCATCGCGTGCCAAAAGCATGGGGAGCAGGGGGGGGTCGTGCGCGCGTGTAACCATACTCATAATTCAATGCGTCCCGCCCCCCCGTGCATGTGCGTGCTACACACACACACCCCACGCTTCCCCCAATTTTGGCCCGGTAGGCCTGTTTTTTTCGCCCTCCCCAGGCTCCAAGAACACCTCTGGGGGCCGGAATTTGTCAATTTCTGGTGGGACCAGAAGTCCCGTTTCTCACCCTCCCCGGGCTCCAGAGGCTTTCTAGGAGCCTGGGAAGGGCGAAAACAGGCCTTCCCCATCCCCCCAGAGGCCAGAAACGGCCCGATTGCCAACTTCTGGTGAGCCCGGAAGGCCCGAAAATCAGATGCGCGTGCCGGAGCTGAGCTAGGGCAACGCTCTCGTGCCCACTGATATGGCTCCACGTGCCACTTGTGACACGCGTGCCATAGGTTCGCCATCCTGGGTATTGGGTCTCCTGCTTGAGCATGGGGTTGGACTAGAAGATCTCCAAGGTCCCTCCCAACTCTGTTATTCTATCCTTCTGTTGGGGAGAAAAATCAGGCTATTTTTTTCCTCCCTTCTCTTTGGTTTTTTCCAATTTTTGTTTTGTTTTTTGAAACAAAATCCTTACTGAGATATGTTGGCAGCTCACCCTAGCAAGCCTTTAAACATCTCCCAGAGATACAGAAGCCAGACAAAAATCAAGGACACGGTTGATTTATTCAGACTATTCTTTGACCTCCGAGAGACAGAACAATTCAGAAACGGCTTCCGTTTAAGGAGGGAAATTAAGAGAGGAAAAGTTTAAAGTCAAGGGGCGATTAATCATTTGGGGAGACCAAGGGGTTCATTTTGGAGGCTGCAGGCAGATTCATGTCGATGAATCTTTCCTGCAACTGATGTTCTTAGAAAGAACGCGGACCATTTTAGGAGAACCTCAAAGAAGGGAAGGAGATGATTCCCTCTGACTCATCCTTTGGCTTCGCACCTGGTGTCTGGAGGGAACACTGGTACATATTGTAGTAGGTGGTGTGAATTA